CAAAACAAGGCAATAGGAAATCAACAATGGCTACACTTTGAGAAAGAGATCCTCTTCTGAATAGATAATCAGACCACTGGCCCTAGACCTGCAAAGTCAGTGAAACACCAAACACCACAAGCATCGAGTTGCATTTCACCTGAATAGCTAACATCGCAGCCTGTGTTTCTCCACATCAGCTGGTTGCTTACAGGGCGGGCGTTGGCTAGTCTTGTTTTCCAGCCCGTGTGCCGAAAGGGGCTGGGACTAGGCTGTACCGATGACAGCCCACACACTGTGCTGATTCACAGGGTGGGCTTACTTCTTGGTTCATCTTTTATGTGACAAAGCCTATCTTTCTTGAGAAAGATACCTACTTAGACACTTTGCACAATTTTTAATTTGTCTATGTCATTTTAGTGTTGTGTTTAAAATCTATGTACAAGCTTCTCTTGTATTTATAGTTGAATATTTATTATTTTTCAATTACACTTGAGTTGCTCATTTTAAAAAGCTAGGTGTTATAAGTGAAATAAATCAGACTCACATTTGTGAATATCATATTGTCTCCCTAGTGTAAAATAATGATCAATAATAATAATAATAGTAAAATGAAACAGTAATAAAATAAAAAATGTACAATAGATATTGTAATAATGAAAGAGAAAGAAAATGACTAAAAGGAAAGAACAACTGACATAGGGAAAAGGAGAGGGAAAAAAAGGAAAATATTATATGTATGTAGTAACTATACTACTAATCTCTGTTAATTCAGCAAAAGAACAGTTTGTGCTGTCATTGATTGATCTTTTTATGTCTAGATCTTATAACTTGAACAATACTTCTAAGATAACAAAGTGCAATATATTAACTAGTTTTTTACTTACTTTCTTACCTGTATGATTTCTTTTTTCTGCTTTTCTTTATAAAATAAAAAAAATTGGGAAAAAAGCTAGATGTTAAAGGATTTCAGGGAATACCTGTATATTAGTGTATTAATTACCAGTAGGTAAACAGAATGAGACATACTGAATTTGTTTTATCAACCTCAGTACGAATCCTCCAACTGTTATTAATCCCCTGAAATTAGAGTTAGTAGGATAGGATACTCTCACAAACCAAGACAGATCTTGCTACAAACATCTTTGACACTTCTAAGGGTCCATCCGTCTTCTCCTACAACCATTTACCTTGAGGATACGGGGGGGGGGGATGTCAAAACATATGGTGAATATTCAAGTTAAAAATTACAATAAAAGACACATTGCCATTAACACCCTGAAAATATTCAGTTGCTCTGAACATACTTATGCGACCATTATGGGCAATGTTCCTTTTACGGTACTGTTTCTGTTTAATTTAAACAAAGCATGAGGCTTTAGCAGGATACCTAAATATAAACCGTAGGTGTATGTATCTGTGTTCACTGATGTATTCTCTTCATGGGTGTAATTGTGTGTCATAGATATCATAATATACAAATGGGCATGTGTTTTTTAAAAAAAATTTTAAAAGCTAGGTGTTAAAGGATTTCAGGAAATACCTGTATATTAGTATATACATACATATATATATACATATAAAAGAATTTTTAAAAAGCTAGGTGTTAAAAGATTTCAGGAAATACCCATATATTAGTATATATGTGTGTGTGTATATATATATAATATATGCACTATATTTCAAGAAATGCCCATCTATTAGTATATGTATATGTGTATATATATATGCTATATTTCAGAAAATACCTGTATATTAGCATATATCATATCATATATCTTACTAATATACAGGTATTTTCATACATTATATATATGCTATACTGTATTTCCTGAAATCCTTATAATATATATGTATATATAATATAGTGTATATATATATATATAGTATACTAGTACAAAGGTATTTTCTGAAATATACTATAGTATATACACTAATATACAGATATTTCCTGAATCCTTTAACACCTAGCTTTCTTAAATGTTTTTTAAAAAGCAAAACAGAAAGATAGATAGAAATCATACAGAATTTTTTTAAAAGTAAGAAACCAACACTAGTTAATATATTGCACATTCTTATCTTAGAAGTAGTTGTTCAAGTGACAAAATCTAGGCTAAGATAAACTCTCCTCAGTCAGGGTCCCATCTCTTCCAAGGACAGTGAAGGCATATATATATATCATATATATCATATATATAGCATGTAGCATATATATGCCATAGATATATAGATATTGATATAATATATGCCTGTTTGGTAATTCTAGCAATAGAATTCAGTCCAAGGACACCTGTCCTCTTCCCAACTACTGGGAAATATGACTCCTCTAACCTCTGTCTATTTTTCAATTTTATTGTAGGTATTCTGAGTACTAGAATTTCCCTATGAAAGTTAGGGTCAGCTGATCAGTTCTGCAAAGAAGTTACAATTTTGATAGAGAACCATTGGCTTGTGGACCAAAATGGGCAATGTTTTCATTTAATCCACACTAAATATGCCAACCCATAAACATAAGCTGACTTTCCATTTATTTCTGTTTCTTCAACTTCTTTTAACAGTGTAGTTTCAAAAAATAGGTGGCACTTTTTGACTTAATTTCTCCTAAGTATTGAATTTTTGATGATATTATAATTGGAATCATGTTTCTGAATTCTGTTTTTATTCACTCATTTTGTTGTATAAAATATGATAAGATTTTGCATTATTGCTTTTGTATTCTGCAATTTTGCTCAACTCATTTATTATTTTTTTATTTTTTTAATTGATTCTCCTTTCCAATTTGAATGCATTTATTTCTTTTTCTTACTTAATTATCCTGGCTAAAACTTCTAATACAATATTAAGAGAAGATATTTTTGTCTTGGGGAGAGAGAATTCAATCATTTGCCATTATCACATCAGCTGTGGGGCTTTTGTAAATAATTTTATGATGCTGAGGAAGTTCCCTATTATTCCTCATTTTTTAAATTTGTTTTATTTTGGGAAGGGTCTTTTGATCACAAAGAGGTATATTCTTTTGTTGAGTAGCTTCTTCATTTATCAGATGATCAATGTTTTTTGTCATTTATTCAGCTGATGTAACACATAGGTCAATTTTCAGATGTTAAAAAATTCTCACATTTTTGGAGATAAATCTCAGTTGCATATCGTACAACTTCGTCTATATTTCTAGATTCAGTTGGCTTTTACTTCATTAAGGGTGTTTGTGAGCAGGGTAATGCTAGCCTCAAGGAACAAATTCAGAAATAGTCCTTCCTCCTTGGCCAATTCCATTTCTTAGAAGCATTTAATTAGAACTGGTTTTAATTCTTTTTGATAAAATTCACCAACGAAGGCATCTGGTCCTGGGCTTTTCTTTGGAGCATCTTTTTTAAATTCCTAGTTCAATCTTTCTACTTGTTGCATACCTATTCAAATTATTTATTTTTTAGTCAATTTTGACATTTTCTGTCTTTCTAGGAATTTTTGATTTTATCTAGATGATCTAATTTATCATCATGCAGATATTCACAGTATTCCCTTAAAACTATTAACTTCACTGAGGTCAGTAGTAATGTGGGGACAGTTTAATTGCCTTCCTCAAGAGCACAACGTATTTGGAGTTTCATGCTTTATTGTTAAAAAATCGTATAATCATATCTATTTGAATATAAAATAACATTTAGTATTACTTACCATAAACTAAAAGCAAAGTTTCAGGGAAAGTTCACTGTATTTATTCTGCTATTTCCTCCCTCAGTTTCCAGGAAAGGCCTAGGTTGTCTGCTTGTGATGCAGCAAGACAAGATAAATTCTCCTTAGTCAGGGTTCCATCTCTTCCAAGGACAATGCATCTGACCCTGTCTATGCTAAGTCTACTGTGGAGCCAACAGCATTCCATAGGAGATTCAGCCAGCGAAAAAGCAGGACTGGAGTTAGCAGTTGACACTGTGGTGATGACAAGTTCACGGAATTTCTTTGTGATCAGAAGACTGGAGGATATTATTCTCTTAATGGATGTGCATATTTATGTGGCATGCTCCTATGTTCTCTGAAGTAAATTATTCTCCTTGTGGATGCATGTGTGTTGCATGTATTATAATTATTTTCTCATTGCTGGGATGAAATACCTGACATCCACAAGTTAAGGGAAGAGAACTTTATTCTAGCTCACAGTTGTACAGGTTTCAGTCCATAGTTCCCTGGCTCCAAGGAAAAAAAAGCACATAGAAGAGGGAAAGCAGTCCATGGCATGGCAAGCAGGAAGCAGATAGAGATCAAGGGGGGAAAGAGGCAGAGAGAGATGTCTGAGTCCATGCCCCTCCCCATTAACCCACCTCCTTTGTTCAGACTTTACCTCCCAACATTGTATTTAGCTACAAACCCATCAATAGATTACTCCACTGATGAGCATCACAGTCACCTCCTAAAAGCCCTCCCTATGAGTGCATGGGGCTGGGAGGGGATATCTAGATATAAACCGTAAGTGTGCATCTGTGTTCTCTGATGTGTTTTCTTCATGGGTATAATTGTGTATTATTCACATTTGTTCTCTGATACAGATGGTAGTAGAGGCACCTGCAACATTTGGTCTTCTTTTATCTTTGTGATAATGACAGCAAAAACTAGTCAAGATGAAGTGTTGTCCCCAAAATGAATATCAGCAAAGAATATTTCCACATTCCAGATTATTTAACACAATTTGTTTCTTTCAACTTCAAATGAAATCTCAGCCAGCATTCAGATATTCCCTGCTGTAAAAAACAAAAAAAGAAAAGAAAAACTCAAAATGTAACTATAATTTTATAATAAAGTGGAGATATTTAGCACATATAGAAAAGTGAAAATCACATAGACAGAAATGATATTTAATAGATATGTTAACTGTAAAATTACCAAACCCTTAAAATTAAACACTGAAATCAATCATTAACCACTCAACCTTAGTTGCTCATTAACTCATGTTTAAAATCATGCTTAACTAATATTTAAATTTGTCACAATAAAAAATATTCTATTTTTCCCTTCTTTGTGTCTCTTAGGAAAGCTCTACCTGAAGACCACGTGTTATATATTGGTTCACGTGTTTGGATCAGACATCATCAAGCTGTGAGTATGCTGGGAGTGGGACTCTTACTCAGCTGCTGAGATGCAGGAGACTGCATTGCTCCCAGCCTGACATGCACACTGAACAAGGGTGCAGGCTGTTGCTCCAGTTCCGGTTAGCAGCGGGGGATTGACACCTAATTCAGTTCCTTTGTCCTCAAGGTGAAGACTGCCCTTGAAATGCACTGTGACAATCTGGCTCAATTTCTCTCCAAGAGCGTTTCAGGGTAGTACCAAGAACAAATGCTTGATTCCATTGGCTGACATAGGCCATCAGAATGGATCCTTATCTTGAGCTCCCCATCTGTGCCATCTCTGACCCTTGTCCCCTAACTCCAAACTCTTTCCTCTAGGTATTTTAGCTCCTTCTGGCTGGGGCTTTTAATCTGTTCTGGCCTCTCCACATTCCAATCCCTTCACCTACATCACTATCTGCTTCCCCACCAATCATTAATACATGGACTTCTTATATTTGTGATTTAAAGCTGTATCTACCTTGGATAATGTATAAATGCCAAGATTAATCACTCATAACAAAGCCTAGGACTTGGTGATGACCTAGGCTCATCCTGTGGTCCCTCTGTGTCATTCTATCATGTTTTCCCCACCAAGTTAGCATTGTCCTAGATTCCTGTTCATCCTTCTCTTGAAATCCTTATCTACAATTTTACTATTTACTAGAGTATAAATTACAGGTGGGGAATGGTGGAACACGCTTATCTCAGGACAGGAAGATTGCAAGCTCAAAACCAGCCTGGGCAACTTAGTGATACCCTGTCTCAAAAGTTTAGAAAGTTAGGCTTGTAGCACGGTATTCCCCGGGTTCAACCTCCCACCAATACTGGAAAATAATTTATGCATATTCCTTAAAACTCTATGTTGTTATTTTAGCCATTTTTCTAGTTTACACAGGTCCTAGCACATCTGATGTTATCTTTCGGACCTCATCTTTAAAATTGTGCACTTGAGATCCATTTCCATGATCTTGTCACATCTGTAGCTCATCTCCCTGACCTGTAGACAGTGCTCGATGTGTCTCTACAGATGTCTCACCACTCTACCCACCAACGTTGAGCTGTTTTCTAGTTTTTCCTTTTCACTGTGCCAGAGGCTCAGAATATAGTATCACCCTTGACATCAGAATAGCATAGAGCTGCAACATTTTAAAGATGGAATAGAATTAGAGATTCTCAAGCTGTGTACCTGCTTCTATCAAATACTAACCTCACTCCATTATGCAAATGACTCATGGTGTACTGTATATTTGAGTGCAGGGACCCTGCTTTTTACTAATACTTCACAGACAGCCACAGTCTGCTAATCAGACTCCCTAAGTCCTGCAATTCTTTTTTTTTTTTTTGTACAGGAATCTGAACTCATGACCTCATGCTTGCCAGGCAGGGGCTTATGCCACTGAGCTAAATCCCCAGACCTCTGTCCTGCAGTTCTGTAATCCACATAATTCCACTCTGGAATGCAAGTCTCATCACGGCACTTCCTTCCACACTCTTCAAAACCTTCATGCCCTTGTAGGACTCCTACCCCATACACAAGACTTTTAATGAACTTGTTAAAGAGCTTTTCCAGGCTTATCCCTTGCTGCCCCATAACATACCACACTCCTCTTGGAGTGCAGTATTCCCCACACCCCAGGAAGGTTTTGCCTCAAGTCCTTCTCAGGAGACGTTCCCTATGCTTGGCACATGCAAAACCTCCCCTCCAAGGCAACCCTACCTCAGCCCTCAGCTCCAGGTCTGCACAAACACAGGCTGCTTCTCTTTACTCTCAGCACATTGCTGCTCTCTAGCACCTCTTTAGGCCATCTGCGGGTGCAAATGGCACCGCAGGCGAACTGTGCAAGAGACAAGTGGACATGAGTGCTAAAGGGGGGGGGGGGGCTACCCCTGAGGAGTAATGTTTTCTTTTCTAGGATGAGCAATTCCCATTAGCATCAGGTGGACCATTCTTAAGGAAGGCAGATGCAATAAGTGATCATCCTCTATGGTTCTGTCTGCTATTTTGTTTTGCATTATATGCATTATGTGTATTATGTGCTGCTGAGAATTTCTCCTCATGCGATATGCTCCTTTTGTGTCTTGATGTAGGTGAACAGATACAGCTCTGGGTTGATGTAGGCCCTGAAAATAACTTTATGATTTATTTTTAACTGAATATCAGTCTCACTGTATTAAAGGCATTTCCCATTCTAGAGAGCATCCCTCCTATTGTCTCATACCAATCTGTTCTCAATGATTCGTGGACTAATTATGCAACTAATATATTTCCTACCCACAAGCAGAGACATAGACTGGTTTAGAAAGTGGAACGCCTAAGAACTCATGCATTCCCCCAAGAACCTGGGTCATGCAGTGTCTCGTTCTTTTTGGACTGCTTATAACAAAATACTTCAGACTGAGTGATTTATAAAGAACAGAAAGTCATTGCTCATAATTCTAGAGGCTGGAAAGTAAAAGACAGCAAAAGATTCAGTATCTGATGAGGCTCACTGTTAGCCTCATCGGTGGTGCCTTCTTTTTGAGCTCTCATATAACTAAAGATGCTGATAATTCCCTTTTATAAAAGGGCACTAATCCCCTTCATAATCTGCCCTAATTGCCTTCTCAGGGTCACACCTGTTAACACTATTGCATTGGTGATTGTGCTTTAGTGTGTGAGCTTCAGGGGGACACAAACATTCAAGCCATAGGATACCAGGAGGGGCTAACTCAGAAGCAGACCTGTTCTAGCCTGTGTCCATGAGCTAGCACCCCTCTGTCTCCATTGATCTTAGCCAAAGGAAACCTGGCTGTGATCCCTGTGAGTCTCACGTTGCTTCCTGGTATCTTTTGATGCTTCTCTATGAGGTACAAGCTCTGTGTCCCAAGCCCAGTCATCCTGGAAAGGCTTCCACTTTTAAGATTTTTAGAAGAAAAATGAAAACAGAAGTTGTAACAATTATGGTTCAACTTAAATACAAGTGATGGCTTTTCTGGTCATAAAAACACAATATAACTATGTTATTCATAATTGTAGAAATTGTTAAAATCACAGAATACTATATTATGATCCAGAAAGTAAAATATTGACTTGTAAAAGGAGATTTTTCAACTGTGCTGGTGTAGCTCATTGACTATAACTCACACACAAAATCTTTGAGAGCTACCTCTGAAGTCAAAATTAGAATATTTTCCAGAAAGAATCTTCTGTCCTGCACCCTTGCCATAGACGTTATTATGCTTTCCATCTGGAAAACCTTGTTCTTTTCTTTAGAATTATTATGACAGATGTCATCATCATTGACATCACTCTCTCATGACCCTAATTAAATCTACCACCTATCTCTGCCAAATATGTTTATGCCTTTCTCTCTGCATGTCTTGCCTCTACATGACTGCATAAAGGTGGTAAAAGAAAATAAATTAATATGGGATGTGTTCCATGGGTACGGAGTTTAGATATTACCACTTTTTCCTAACACTGAGTAGAATTTGGAAAAACAGAAATAAGAATGCTTCTAAAGATCCTTCAGAGAGGTAAGTAAGGTCACTAGTCAAGTCACTAGGAATTTACTAGAGATCAGTAGATACAGTGAGTCACAACTTCCCAGGACAGAAACTGCCATAGACACTATAGCTTGAGTAGAGGAACCTAAACCAAACTTGAGCACCCTAACCTAGACATGATCAAGAAGAGAAGCTAAAAACTCTGGGGTAGCTATCACAGCACTGTGCCCACACTTAGGTGAATTTTACTTTCAGGAACTTGATGGATTCTCACAAAACTTGTTGGAGAAAAAATATCCCTTTTGCTTCTGGGGGAAGGAGCTCTACATGACAGCACACTGTTATTCTCCTGATATGAAGTCTGCCATCAGGAAAAAGTAGTAACCAGAGCCTAACCTTTTGTGAGTTTTATCAGAGGCTGCCTCACCTAGGAAAAAAGATATACTCAAGTCCAGACAGTTTTAGCCAGCTTGCTCCATAAAAAACAGCTGGAAAAAAACCTAAAAAGCAGTTGTGAAGTTCACAGAGCAGAGACAGACTCAGTGAAAGGTTGAGACCTGATCACAATGTTCCCTATCCCCACACAACCCACGGTCACATTACGAAAGTCCTATTTACAGCAGTGCTTTCTATTCAGTACATTGTGTCTGGCTATCAGAGAATATTACAAGGCACACTAAAAGGGAAAACCACAGACTGGAGAGACAGAACAAGCATCAGAACTGAGAGCATAACAAGGATGTGATAACCACCAGAAAAGGAGTTAAAACAATTACTACTAACATACTAACAGTTCTAATGAATCAAGCACACAGCATGCAAGAGCAGACAAGAGAGACCTGGAGATCCAAAGAATCAAAGATTTTAAAATGCTAGAGAGACAATGAATAATAATAAAAACAAAGATTGCTTTTGATGGCAAAAGAACTAGAAATGGTTAAGGAAAGACTCTCTGCTTGATGGTGTACCAGTAAAAATCTCCAAAGGGGAAAAAAATAACAAAGAATGAAAAAAGGACTCTTGGACAACAACAAAATATGCAAATTATAGAATAACAAGAAGAAAAAGGAACAGAATATCTGAAGCAATGACTGAGAATTTCCCAAATCCAAGTGAATCTGATTCAGAAAGCCAGAGAACAGCGAAGAGTACAAATGCTAAAGTTAAATAAAACAGAAATCAAAAGAGTACACCTGGGCACACCCTTTTCCAAACACATAAGAGCAAAGATAAAGAAAAAAATCCCAAAAGAAGTCTGGAGAGGCATTATCTATAGCAGAACAAAAATAAGATCTACTGTACCTCTAATTTCTCCTCTGAAACAATACAAGCAAGAAGAGAATGGAGTAAAACAATTAAAAGTGTTGAGAAAAAACCCCATTAGCCTAAAATTCTGTACTCTGATATAATTATTCAAAAATGAAAGACAACTAAAAAGATTTTTAAAAAGAGCAAGAGAGAGTTTGCTGCCAATAGATTTTCCTGGTATGAAATGTTAAAGGAAATTTTGCATTTAGAGGGAAGAATAATATTGTAAATCAGAAACTTGGATCTATATACGAAAGTAGATTGCCACAGAAAAATAATGGATGGTAAAACAAAATCTTTCCTTTTCCCCTTCCTAAATGACCTAATAGAAAAGTTTATCAAAAATCATAATAGCAAGCATATATTCAATTATGTATAAGTGTATGTGAAATAAATGCAATAACATGAATATAAGAAGGAGAAATTAAGATTTTACAGTCATGCTACCCATGAAGTAGAATACCATTTTTAGTGGGTTTGGGTTAGTTGTAAACATGTATTACAAACTATGGAACAACCACCAAAAATGGTAACCAAATACAAGTAATATACCAAGATGAAAAATGAAATATAATATGTTCAAAACCACAAAAGACATAAAAATAATAGAAGACAAAAACAAAGAACTAAAACTAGGAAATGGTAACAGATACAATCGCTATTAATTCACCTATACTAGTAATCACTTTTAATGATAATGGTCTGAACGCACCAATTAAAAATAAAGATTATCACAGTGAATCAAAAAACAAGACCCAATCATATGTTATGTACAAGAATCTCACTTTAAACATTTAAATATAGATTTAAAGTGAACTAATGAAAAAATATGCCACGCTATCACTAATCTAATGAAAGCAAGAAGAGCTATATTAATTTTAGACAAAACAGACTTCAAAGCAGAGAAAGACACCAACAACCTAAAAATGCATATTTTCTCAAGCTCAGATGGAACATTCACTAAGACGGAACACATTCTAAGTATGAAATACGTCGTAAGAAATTTTAAAGAATAGAAAGCATAGTGCCTGCTCTCAAACATCAACAATAGTAAACTAAAAATCAATAAAAGAAAGAAAATTGGAGTTCTAAATACATGATAGTAAACAATAAATTCCAAAATAACATCTTCATCAAAGAAGAAATCTCAATAGACATTTTAAAGTAAATAAAACTGAAAATACAACTTATCAAAATTTGAGATGAAGTAAAAGCAGATCTTACAAATATATAGCACTGAAAGCAAACATCAGAAAACAAGATCTTAACGCTAGAAGCATTGCAGCTTCTAGCATAAGGAAATAGAAAAAGAACACAAATTGAATTCAAAGGAAGCAGAAGTTAAATAATAAAAATTACAGCAGAAAATAATAAAATTGAAAATAATAAAACAATAGAAGAAACAATAAAGCCAAAAGCTAGTTTTCCTGAAAGTTCAATAAAATGTATAAGTCTTTAGCCGAATCAAGAAAAAGCTTGGAGTCATGGTACTGTAGAACTTTCCAGAATGCTGGAAAGTTGAGGTAGGAGAATAACAAATTTGATCCTAGCATGGAAAATTTAGAAACTTAGGTAATTAAAACAATTTTTAAAGGGATATAAATGCAGCTTAGTGAATTGCTCTAGAGTCCCCTGTTAAGAGAAAAAGAGAGAGAGAGAGAGAGAAACAGAGACAGAGACAGAGACAGAGAGAGTACACAAAGCAGTTTTCATATCTCACGGGTGTTAAAAATAAGGAATATTATAAATAACTCTTATCCCCCCAAATTTATTATCCTGTATAAAACTTTTCAATTTCTTGCAACACAAACCACCAAAACTTACACAAGAAGAAACGGCAAATGAAAAGGCCTACATCTATTAAAGAAATGGATCAATATTATGCCTTTGAAATAGAAAACACCAGGCGTAAATGTATTCACTGCTGAGTTCTACCAAGCATTCAAGGAAGAAATTATATCAATCCTCTATAATCTCTTCAAAAGATAGAGCTTAATGGAACACTTCTTAGCTCATTTTATGAAGCCAGTATCCACTAATACTAAAACCAGACAAAGGAATAATAAGAAAACTACAAATAAGCCAGGTATGGTGTTGCACACCTGTAATCCCAGCACTCTGGGAGCCTGAAACAGAAGTGCAAATTCAAAGCCAGTCTAGGCAATTTAATGATTTGGCAAAAGTTTGTGTCAAAACTTAAACTCTTTTCGAAAGGCTAGCTCACTGTGAAGTCCCTAGGTTCAATCCATGATGGGGAGCAAAGATGAAAAAAGAGAGAACAGATGAATATTTTTTTATTCTCATGAATATAGAGAAGAAAATCTCCAATACACCATTAGGAAATGGAGTCAAATTATGTATAACAAATTGTATACAACAACCAACTAAGATTTACCCAGATATGCAGGGCTGATTTAACACTCAAAAATCAATTAGTGCAATTAAGCTTATCAAGAGACTCAGGGAGAAAAAATCACATACTCATGTTGACTGATGCAGAAAAAAATTTCACAAAACTCAGCATCTATCTATGATAAAACTCTAAGTTAACTAGAAATGTTCCTAGAAAGTGGAACAACTTAAGCTTGATAAAAATATCTACAGAACACCTATAACTGACATTATACTTAATGCTAAAAACTAGAAGTTGTCCCACTAAGATCAAGCCTAAGGCAAGAATGATCCTGCCACTACTTTTTAGTATCATTCTAGAAGTCATAGCCAGTGGCAAGAAAAATTAAAATGATTGAAAAGGGAGAAATAAAGCTATAATTATTTGTCAGTAGCATGATGTTTATGTGGAAAAATCCAACAATATCAACAAAATTTCCCAGAACTGATAAGCGATTATAGCAAAGTGGCAGGGTACAAAATTCACATACAAAAATCAACCACTTATCTGTAAAATTACAATCAGCAAGTAGAATCTGAAGTTGAACATACAGTACTGTTTATACTAGCATGCTCAGAAGTGAAATACTTAGGTATAAAAATATGTCCGGGGATATGTGAGCAAAGTGTTGAAATAAATCAGAGCCAATGTTCAGGGATAGTACCAAGGGCCAAAGCAATAAGATAGGGGATAGTCTTTTCCACAAATGGGACTCAAACAAATGTACACCCACATTCAAAAATAAAAAGGAATCTAGAAACTGACTTCAAAAAAATGAATTTAAATGGAATATTGACCTAATGTAAACCTATAAAATTCACAGAAGATAAAATATGAGAACATTTAAACTGCCTTGAGTTTGAGGATAACTTTTTAGATAGGACACCAAAGACATTAAGGAATTCATAAACTGGATATCATTACAATTAAAAATTTTACTCCTCAAAAGACATCATCAAGAAAACAAAAAGACAAGTCACAGACATGAAGACACTATTTGCAAAGGACATATCCAATGAAGTACTGTTAAAAGACTTATTTATAAAGAATTCCTATTACAGTGTAGATATTGAGTGTCCCCAAAAGGCTTGGTCCTCACCTTTGCCTTGAAAGGAATATTGGGATCACTAACACTTCCTGTTTCTCTCTTTGTGTTCCTATTACCATGAGGTAAACAGGCCTCCTCTGATACATCTGCTTGGCAGGCCCAAAGCAGCAGGAGCAAGCCACTGTGGGTCGAAATCTCTGAAAGCATTATCCTCCTTTTTTTTTTTTTTTTTTTGATACCGGGGGTCGAACTCAGGACCTTGTGCTTGCCACGCAGGCATTTGTGCCACGGAGCTAAATCCCTGGCCCCCATTTTCCTCCTTTTAAGTTGATTGTCTTAAGGTGTTTCATTGCAGTGGCAGAAAACTAACTAACACGGGTCTTAAAACTCAACAATACATTTTTTAAAATATTATTCAAAGACCTTCACACATAATTCACCAAAGAAGATATACAGGTAATAAATAATTACATGTATAGATGCTTAGTATGATATGCTATTGAAGGATTACAAATCAAAACACCTGTCACAATTTTTAGTTTAAAAAAACTAAAAATTTTATTGTTTTTCTTAGGTCTATAGCTTTTCCATACAATCCAATAATTACATCCCTAAATATTTACCCAACTGAGTTGAAAAATGTATGTCCCTACAAATACTTGCACATGGATACACAGATGTTTATAACATTATTCATAACCATCAAAAACAATTATTAGGAAGCAATTATTAGGATTTTTAAACTTGTGTGTATTGGTCAGAGTTCTCAAAATCAGTAGAAAAAAATTATAATGTATATGGTTATATGCATATATGATACAAAAATTATATATATATATATATATATGATTACAGGTAGGCTTACAGGATAGGAGAGTTCACAATGGCCATCTGTGCACTGGAGAGCTGGCAGATTCCAGCTGCTCAGTGCAAGATGCTGGAAGCTTCAGACCAAGAAGGATCAAGCGTCCAGCACAGTCTGTGATTGAAAGCTTGGAAGCTCTCTGGAGAAACCTTGTATAAGCCTGGTTGAAAGGGTGAAGAAACTGGAGTCTAATGACCACAGATGATGGCAAAAAAAAAAAAGATGGAGTTCTTCAAAACATACATGAACTTTCTATTTCTTTCATTTTTATTCCATCTAGGCTACAAGCATTTTGGATGGTGCCACATACAGTTGGGGGGGATTTTCCCTGTTCAGTTTGCTAGCCTACATGCCAATCACCTCTGAAACACCCTCAGACACACCCAGAAGTGTGCTTTCCTAACCACCTAGATGTACTTTACTAATCTCTTAAGCCAGTCATGTTGACATATCACAATCAATGGTCATGCTGTGGTGCCACCATACAATGCAGTGTTATTCAGCAATAAACATCAACAAGCTTTCCAGTCATGAAAAGACAAAGAGGAAGTTTAAATGCATATTGCTAAGTAAAAGAAACTAAGGTTCAAATTTCACAAACCATATCATTTCAACTAGGGCATTCTGGAAAAGGCAAAATCATAGACACAATAAAAAGATTAACTGTCGGGGTCGCTCCCGGCCGGCAGGAAGGACACACGACAAAGTCTGGCAGTGGACAACCTTTTCTTTTATTTTCTCTCCGTACAGCCTGCCCTGGGATCGCTCCCAGCCGAAGCCTCCTCTGGTCCGCTCCCCGCGGCTCCTTCCATGCTTCGCTCCGAAGCCTCTACCGGTCCGCTCTCCGCGGCTCCTTCCGGGCTTCACTCCGAAGCCTCTACCGGTCCGCTCTCCGCGGCTCCTTCCGGGCTTCTACTTCCCCCCAGGGGTGGCACCAGTATATATACGGATACAGTGTCCAATCATGTTAAAGTAAGCAAGGCAAGCTGATTGGCTAACATATTATTGAGCGGGTTGTTTACGCAGTAAGCAGGAAACTAACGTGCTCGATGGGAGGGGTAATCTAACTCAGGCTTTACTCTTTACCACAGGCCGCATGATCGCTATATGTGGCGGCTCGGCAATGTGGTGGCTCCCAACATCTCCCCCTTTTTTATTTTAAATAAGTCTACGCATCGCAGCCCGTCCTGAATTGAGTGTAGAGGCCTATGCCCTGATAGGAGGCCCACCAAGGGCTCTCGGCGTCGGCCCGGGTCGGCCGTCCCCGAGTCTGCCGAGGCCCCGAGGCCCTCGTCCTTTTTCCAGGGCCAGGAAGGAACCGGACGGAACCTGGATGCACACAGGCATACACTCATGTCGCTCCGCATGATCCCCCCGGGGCGACATTTGGTTCGGGCGGAACCTAGTAATTCAGCGGCTTTCGTGCGGTATGGGGTAGGGCCTGTCTTAGGTTGAGTCATGCTGGGGAGGCATGCTCTTACCCGTCATTGACTCATCTACTCTGCTATATCATAATTTTTTAGAGGAGGAGTGTGGGAAGCTCACCGTCCCTAGACTCGGTCGTAGGCTAGGCGAGCGAGCCATGCATATGCCTGAGGATCTTTTTGTCCATTTCGGGCTACCGCTATTTCTATTCATCTTGTTGGTTGGTCTGTGATGGATCTCCGGTAGGGCAGGTCTGATCTTCAGTCGAGGGCTTTGTCGCCCGTGTCAGTCTCTCCGGTACCCACAGTGGTTCTCGTCCCGATTCCTGCAGAAAAACACAAACCGCGCCTCGGTTCCAGCTGATTACCGGATCCGGGCCCATCCATTGTCATGCCATAGATAACCGCGCCTTTGGAGGCAGGCCTTGGCTTACTCCCCCTTTTTGTTTTTTATTTTTTATTTTTTATTTTTATCTTTTTCGTTTTTTTTTTTTTTTTTTTTTTTTTTTTTTTTTTTTTTTTATTGGTACCAGGGATCGAACTGGCGATTGCCTGCTTACAAGGCAGGCGCTTATGCCGCTGAGCTAAATCCCCAGCCCCCATTTCCTCGACCGGCGTTTTTCTCAGCCTGCTCGGCAGAGAACTCTGTGTACCAGGCTCGCCAATCCAGGTAACTACCCGAGGGCAGACACGCCTTTGCCAGCTGAATCCAGTCCGCGGGGGTGAGGGGCCCAGAAGACAGGTTCTCCAGCATGGCAATGGTGTAAGGCGCAGTCGGCCCAAAGGTTGTAACTGCATTTTTAAGTTCTCTAATCTGCTTTATCTCAAAAGGCTCCCATGCATTACGTCCCTGGCCCATAGCTACTTGTACAGGAAATATCCCGTAGGGGCCACTATCTATCCCAGGTGGTGGATGTACCTCATGAGAAAAACGTCCCCCCTGCCAAAGCCGCCTGTAAAAATACCGACCCGCCGGCGGCGGAGCATAAGACGGCGGCCGTGATTGGGCGGAAAATGGGGGCCCGTGCATCACTTCCTGTTCTGGCGAAAGGGGAGGGAGCTCCCACGCGGCCGCCTCGTGGCGAGGGATCGCTTCCAGGAACAGCCCCCAAGGTGGGACGGAAGGCTTCGCCTCCCTCTCGCGCCAGGGGGCGCTCAGGAGCTCTCTACTCCTCCGCAGACCAAGTTGAGCGGAGCGCAATTCGCGGCGCAACGCTGGGAAAGAACCCTGCGACTCCTTATCGAGCGGCCTATCCTCTTGGCATCTAGGCTCCTTGGTCTCATCGTTGTCTAAGCCTTCCTCGTTCTCGGAGTCAGACGACTCCGAGGCCTGAGCCCCGTCTTCCTCCTTTATATCTTTGTCTCCTTTGACGGACCCCTCCCGGGAGCTCCCTGACTGGGCCTGTTCGAATGCCCTACGCACTTTAATGAGCTCTTGAGAACCTTCCCTGCAACCACCCTCGCTCTTCAAGCATGCATATATCATTTCCCACAGTGGCCGAGCGAAGACCGAAGCCCCGCCCTCCCTTTCCACTAGAGAAAGATCCCTGCCCAACTTCTCCCACGAGGGCAGGTTTAAGTGCCCTGTGGGCAAGAACCAGGGAGCGAAACTATCAATCTCCTCAAAAAAGCTCTCCAGCGTTTTGCGTCCCACCTTGAGGTCTCTGGACTTTAAGAGCTTCCGGAGGACCTGTACCAAGGGCTGGGTGTCGTTACTCGGTACGTTACCCATATTTAATATGTTACTCACCGCATGAGGCCCAAAAATCCGCCACTTACGCGTGAGCCTGAGGGGAGTCTAAAAACCCTGTAGGTGCGCGCCACCCAGGGCCCAGGTTTATCCCCTACTCACCTGTCTCGCAGTGCTGTATCAAGGAACGTTGTCCACTACCACGTCTCGGGGGTGATCAGTTGTTCCCCGTACGGGCCACCAAATGTCGGGGTCGCTCCCAGCCGGCAGGAAGGACACACGACAAAGTCTGGCAGTGGACAACCTTTTCTTTTATTTTCTCTCCGTACAGCCTGCCCTGGGATCGCTCCCAGCCGAAGCCTCCTCTGGTCCGCTCCCCGCGGCTCCTTCCGTGCTTCGCTCCGAAGCCTCTACCGGTCCGCTCTCCGCGGCTCCTTCCGGGCTTCTACTTCCCCCCAGGGGTGGCACCAGTATATATACGGATACAGTGTCCAATCATGTTAAAGTAAGCAAGGCAAGCTGATTGGCTAACATATTATTGAGCGGGTTGTTTACGCAGTAAGCAGGAAACTAACGTGCTCGATGGGAGGGGTAATCTAACTCAGGCTTTACTCTTTACCACAGGCCGCATGATCGCTATATGCGGCGGCTCGGCAATGTGGTGGCTCCCAACAATTAACCATTGCCAGGGGTTAGAAGGAAAGGAAAAATAACCTGGCAGAGCACAGAGGATTTCTAAGACAGTGAAAATGCTCCACTTGGGAACCTAATGGTGAGTGTGTGCCATTACACATTTGTCCAAACCCAAAGAATGAACTTCAGTGTAAACTATGGACTTTGGGTGATGATGCTACCTAAATGTAGGATCCCAGTTTGGACACATGATTTGGTGGAAAATGTTGATAATAAGGGAAGCTATGCACCCATGAGAGCCAGGGAAATCTCTACAGCTTTCTCTCCGTTGTTGTTTTTGTTGTTGCTGCTGTCATTTTTATTCTGAGAACCAAATAACCTTTCCAAATATCTTTTTAAAAAGTCACCATTTTGTCATAGTTGCTGCTCTGAGAAAAAGAAAACAGTTTTGGGTACCAGGTTTGGGCCAGCCAATCCTGAGAGAGAGATGAATAACAGCACAAGAGACAGAATTTCTTTGAGGAGGGTCAGGGCACCCCACTGAAATGCAGCCCTAAAGTGACTCAAACTCCCAGATTTATTGAGGAGCAACAGAGGCATAGAGTTCTGCTGAGCACGACGTTTGTTTTAGGTTAGCAAGGCAGGTACCGAGGCATGGTAACAGTCTGGCTGAATGATTAACTTTTATCCGGCAAGCTCCCCAGTTTCCCCATGAGGCCCATCTCTGATCAAGTTGGCAGAACACATCTTCAAGACACTTCAGCTTCTGGGAGTTAGCAATCTTCTGCCTCCAGAGTCACCCAAGCAGATATTGACCCAATGGGTGTCGCAAGGAACTCCACATCTAGACGATAATGATTCTGGCGACTTTGAAGATGTCCTGGAGAGATCACAAATTATGTGTAGCCTAGGTCAAATTATATGTAGCTTGGGGGTGGGGGTAAGAGCATCTGTGCTACCTTGTAGCTTCTTATGCATTTTGCACATTACTATGGACATGAACTTGCGTAGATTTACAAGGCTAAGTATCTTCTCTTTTAGTAAGAGGAGTAATCTTCACTTTCAGTCTTTTAGTGATGAAGTGCTCCTATAGAGGATCCCACTGGGATAGCCTGTATACAGCTACCCTCTTCTGCCCCAGCCTCAACCACTCCCCGACTGAGTGGTCCCTGTATCCTCTCCCATGTTTGAGCTCACTCTCTTGAATCTGTGCATTCTCTGGGGTTGAAGGAAAGCAGACCTTGGATGCCATGTGACAAGCTGGCCCCGTGGTCCAGGACTGTCACAGATGGCATAGTGGCTGTAGGTTAAAAACAAAGGTTAAGCAAAGCCTTATTTATCACTGTTCTGAGTTCCCCGAATATCAGACCCTCATAAAGACAGCAGTCATCAGTTAAATAAATGAACCATTAAGTTGAGAACAGGTGTGTGGAAACAGCCACCTTCTCCTGATTTACTGGCCCTGGATAGACATTAGTTTGGTAATAGTCTTTAGCTGTAACTCACAGCTGGCCCCACTGCCTGAAAGACTTGGCCTCCTTTTATACTTCAGAGGTAATTGCCACCCTCTGATCACCTGTGAAAGGACCCTGGGGCTAAGCAGGTGACACTCACACAATTCCATTATTCCTTCTTAGCTCAGGGGTGTACAGACAGCTGATAAACCATGTTGGCAGTCACTCTGTTAGTCCTGCTCAGTTGGAATGAAGTCTGGGGCCCGTGATCCCAGCTTGTATTTCCACATGGCAGTGACCCTCAGTGTATTTGGCAATTTCTTACGTGAACTGCTTTCCCTGATGGGCTTTGATGAGATCCATTTACATTAACACAAGATAGTTCTATCCACAGGAGCACATAGTAGAAATAAATTCTCAAGGTTCCTTCCAGCGTTTGGAGGAGCCGTACAAATTTGGAAGGGTGTTAGTCCAAAAAGATAAAATCATTAGAGATTTTACAAGTTATTTTGATGCTCAGTGACCATTAAATTGCTGCTTACTCACTAAATGACAGTGTTTTGTTTGAACCCAAGGCCTTTGAGCTGAAATAAATCCCTGGCCTTCTTTAAATTTTTGAGACAGGGTCTAGATAAATTGTCCATGCTGGGTTCTAACTTATAATCCTCTTGCCTCAGCCTTTCAGATGCTTTTTGTTTCAGCTTTCTGAATCTCATTGTTAATCCACATATCCAAGTACAAAATTCCTTTGGAAAGGTGGACAACCACGGGAGCAAGAAATCAACCAGCGACATGTATGCAATAGGAAGCAGATTCAGAGACTTGTTTCCAGGTGTTGTTCACAGTGGCCACTACCCTAGTGCTAACCAGCAGTTCTCAAGAGTGGGCCCATGTGTGGCTGTGACTGTCTTCAATGGCAAGAAATAGAAACAACTTTGCCTTGCATAAGAGGAGAAGGAGGAAGAGGGTCAGGAGGAAAGAAGAGAGACTTCAGTAGTGGCTGAGACAGTCACTTTACAGTGGAGTTAAGAGAAACACAAGGAACCAGAGCACACATGACACAGAACTCAAGGGCAGGAAAAGGTCCAGGCCTCTAAAAGAGGCTGAAAGCAGGATAGGATGCAGCCCTCTGCATTCTGCCCAAGCACCCCCTCCTGCAGGTGCCCTGTCCTGCAGGTGGACTATCTGGATCTCAGTCCACATGGCAGGAAATGACTAAGACGGAGCTCCTATGAATGAGCCCAGACTGAAGTCAATCTTTTGTTACTATCAATGCCTGCCTTTCCAAAGGAAAGAATCTGAGGGGTCTTCCTTGAAAAAGTAGACTGATGAGGTTCAATCAACTGTCCAGGAGTTATAGAGACTAAACTCCTCCTTACCTGGCTTGAGGTACCCTCAATTGATTGTAGTCCTAAAGCATTCAGTGCAAAATTCCAGAAATATAATTAATAAGTTTTAAACAACTTTTATTATGGTATATTTGTCATGCTCTATGTTTATTGCCCTAGTAACCATATACCTAGAGCACCGACCACATTGTTGTAAATTAACTGACTGTGTCATCATGCTGTTCTGTATGCGTCATTCCCCCTCCACCCCAGTAACCTGTTTGCTGGGTCAACTTTTGTTCCCCTTGTAAGAGACAAATGATGCTGTGTCAACCATTATTCCCTTTATGAGACACAAACATTCCTGGAATTGGCAGACCAAGGGCTATTAATTGGCTAACTACCCACTGATTGAAATGTCTCTGACCTCAAGCAAAGGGGACCAAAGGCCCACCTTATTTCTGTTTCTCATCGCTATGTACTTAATGATCAATGAGCTAATCGTATTGTTAGATATTTTTCTATTCAATCATTAATTTTTGTTAATCTCTCATTGTGCCTAATTTATAAATTAAACTTCATAATGCATATGCCTGTGTAAGAAAAAGCATTGTGTAGGTCTGGGATTAGCTGTGGTTTTAAGTATTCATAAAGCAGCTCAGAACCTAGCCACCAAAAGGAGGCTATTGCCTGAGTGTATGTACAAGGAGCCAACCCTTATGGGCAAGAGGGCAACAGCTGAGTGATTTGTAAGCCTAAAAACCCCAAAAACTATTCTTTAGATTTCACACTGGTCCATCCACAAAATATAAAGATTTATCTTTAAGTATTAGCAATCTGTGTTATTGGAGTTTGTTTGTTTATTTGTTTTCTTTATGTTGGTTTGGTTTGGTTTTTAGTCTGACTCAATAATGTGGTTGGAAAAGTCACTAATGATACTTACCTTGCTCTTTACTAGAAACAATTGTTTATGTGTGTTTTACTCCATAAGAAGAGTTTTTAGAGGCTGGCAAAGAAATAAAGGTTACTTGAGCTCTTTCAAATCTTGACAGAAAACAAAATATTTGAAGAGTGTGGTCCTTACACCATCCCCAGGAAAAGAAACAAGTTGACTATATTATATTTTCTTCTTTAAGGATAAGAAATCTGTTTATTTCAAAGTGGAAGAGATGGTTTGCATTACACCTAAGAAAATAATTTTAGGTATCTAAGACATATCACAAATGATTTTTTGCTATAAGACCCAGAAAACATGACCATGTTGTTCCCATCAAATTATACCCCTGTCCATTTTTCCTTTTCCAATTGTATTTGTGGCTTCTGAAAAGATTTCAGTGCTCATGTGGGAGGTGAACTCTGCTCAGAGCCGTGCATCTCCCCTCTGCTCCCCCAGGCCTTTATTCTAACTACAAGAGGCAGCAGCATGGCAGGAAATCGTTAAGATCCAGTTGCTACTCTGAAAGGAGCTCAAAGGCCTGACTTCAGGAGTTAAGGGTATTAGAATCCATTCTGGGGATTTACTTTTGTTGGAAACAGCCTCCTTTTTCTTATGCCTGTGAGATCTTAACAGCCTTTGCCCCATTTCCCTCCAGGCTTGATGCAGACATGAATGTTGACATTGTGTGTCACACTCTGGAGTTCTGTAAGCAGGACGCTGGCCAACCTCGGTGTCATCTCTACCCGCTTCCCAAGGTGAGCAGGCCCTACTCCCAACATGCTTCCAGTAACATGCAAGACCTTTGGAAATATTGGAGGCTCAGCTTCACTTGCTCAGAGGTTTGGGGACAGGAGAGGCAGCATGACATTTTCAATTACTCCGTATGAAAAGCTTGATGTAGTTTAAATCTCGATCCTTACTCCTATGCTCCAAAGAATGTCTTTGCTGTACAGTTGTTGTGGACAGTAATCCTGAGCTGGGCTGATAGGAGAGAGTGCTAATCAACCAAGGAATGAAGGGGCTTAAACACTTCTCCGCCATGCAAAAAGTAAGTCCTTCCTATAGGGTGACCAACTCATCCAAGGTTACCTGGACTTTTCTAGGATAAGAATTAAAAGGTCCTTTATCCTGGGAAAACCTGAGCAGTTGGTCATCCTAGTCTGAGCTTTATTGTCCTCAGCTATAAAATGCCTGCTTGCTCTGTCACGCATGAGATGTAAAGAACTGAATATATACAAAATGCTTAGCACAATGTCTGCTGTTTAAAAGTGTTAATAAAAATGGTAGCTCATAAGATTATTATCATTATTGTTCAGAGTTCAGGATACCAACGTGTATTATATCACTTTGGGTTACTTTTAATTGGATTGCAGTTGGAGACAAGGCTGTGATGGTTAACACAATTCTCTCTCTGCACTCTGGATCAGAATATAGTATTAAATCCAACCAGGCCTCTACTGATTTTCAGCAGCTTCTTACAAGAAATGTATCATCACTGTACCTCCTTTCCCAGAATTGTGGGTTTTCTGTACAAAACACAACAGATTGACACTGTAATAGTTCTCTTTTTATTTTGTTGAAATGAAGTCAATTGCAGAATCTGGGGCCTAACCAATACAGGCGATTTTGTGACAATTAAATATCCGAAGTGTCTTTCCTTAAGCAGGAAAAACAGGGCTAAATGTCTGGGGTCCACGTATCTCATGCTTCTGAGGTCACTGACTAAATGCCAATTCGGTTCCACCTACACCACCTGAGGAGCTGTGGGCTTCACTGCCTTCTGGAAGAGAGAAAATAATCATGCGTTTAAATGTGCCTTAGTCACTTTCTCTGCTGAACTACAAAGCCTGACAATCATGACTCAAAAGAGGAGAGGTTTATTTTGGCTCACAGTTTATAAAGGTTTCAATCCATTGTCGGCTGGCTTCAAGGTAGGTGGTGTGGCAGAGGACCAAACAGTCCAGGGCATGGTACAGGAAACAGAAGAGGATCAAGGGAGAAGGAAGATGGACCTTTCCAGGCCACGCCCCCAATGACCCACCTCTTCCAATCAGGCTTTACCACCCACATACATTTAACCATAAGCCCAGCAAGTGGATGCATCCTGTAATAAGGATTGTGCCCCCACGATCCAGTCACTTCCTGAGAACCTCACTTGGGAGCACAGAGGCTTCTTGGGGACATCTAGCTGTAAGCTATAAAAAAACATGACATGTGAAATTTTATCATAATAATTGCCGTTGAATAATATTGGAAGAAGGAAATATGTCTCTGTTAGGAAAGCAAGTGATCTGGGTTTTTGTGATTTTCACAAATAACATCTTGTTCTACAGATGGGACAAGCACGGCTAGACATAGTCAGAATTAGTCCAGCTTTAAACTGTCCCATTTAAAATGGCATTCCTGCAGGATGTGGTGACCCACACCTGTTATGCCAGCACTTGCTGAGTGCAAAGCCCACCTGGACTACATAGCGAGTTCAAGGCCAGGGTCGACAGCATAGCAAGACCGTGTCTTAAAAAAATAATAAATTATTTTAAGTGATATTTTTGTGTTATATTTTCTAGAGTTTATATGCAAAATTTCATTTTTTTTCCTTCCCTATACAACCACACTTTTAACTCCCAACTGAGGAACATCTCAACTCTTAAATCTCTTAATCAAGGAAGGCACTAAAGGGTCACACTATGAAAGACTTGGCTCACCTTCTGCCTTCTGGCATCACCCAGGAAGCCTGCACTTGTGCCCTGAATATCCCCCTTCTTCCCCACTTCTGAGTGCAGCTCACAGCTGCCCCCTCAAATCCTCTGGGGCCCTCCATCCCTAGGGGTGACCCAAAGCATGAGCAGTCAATGAATGTCACCTGGGCACCTTCAGTCTAATCTGCCTCAAGGTTTCCTTTAACAACAGCAAAAATTTGTCTTGAATCCTTACCATGTGCCAAGACACTCAAGCTTCATTTTTTGGTTCCCTGAAGAATCCTAACATGTAAGCATCATTGGACTCCTTTAACAGTTGAGGACCTGAGGCCAAAAGAGTTTCTGTTACTTATTGAAGGTGCCTCTCCGCGGGGAAGGAACATGACTGGGATCTGTCACAGTGCTCAGGAGGGTTGGTGTCTTCTTTACATCTGGGTCAGGATTTCTGAGCTAGCACTTTACAATGACTTCTAAATCCCTACCACTAGATGACATCAATATTAAAAAGTTATACGTCCTTTTAATTTTTAAAATAGATTTCAATATATTTGCAGTTTCAATAAGTTATAATAATGCACATGCAATTGTGTATATACATTTGTTTTCCCCTTTATCATTATTATATCTTGAGCATATGTAGTATGATCAAACCACAGTGAATGTTTAATTAAGAAAAAAATGTGTTCTAGTGAAAGACACTTTGCCATGAATCCCCCTCAAAATATTCTCCCTTGCTTTGAACACATCCTATCGTTCTTGCCACTTTCTGAAGCAATTTCAGAAGTTCTCTTTATTGGCTACTGTTACTCTGTTGTACCTGCCTTGAGGTTCTGAAGCAATTAAAAATATTTACCTTAACAGTCATTTTTACTTTGAGGAAGAACCAGAAATAAGGACTAGACCCATGGAATATAAATATCCACCATATTGTTTGGCCATCTCTCATACATTTGTAAATGGTGCAAAGTAAACCTTTTCTTATTTCCCTGGCATACAAATCCCTCCTAGAATGCATATATAAATTATCTACCTACTGAGGAAATAGATGTAGATGACTTTCAGCCCACCAGAAAACCTCCCCATGGTTCTTCCATGTATATACCCACAAGGTGGCCATTATTCTGAAATCATACCATAGAAAAAGTTCATTTACCAAAAAAACCTCGGTTTTCAAACTTCATAGACATGGAATTAGCTAGTGCAGATGGTCCCTCACTTACAATAGGTTGGCTTACAATTTTTGACTTCACAGTGGTGCAGTAGTGGCATGTACCAAACAGAAATGACATTTTAAGTTCTGATCTTTTCCATAATTGCCCCTGTGTGGTGCCCTTCTTCTCTGAGACCTTGGGCAGTTACAGGGAGCTCCCAGTCAGCCACACAATCACCAGGAGAAACAAGCGACACTCCACAGTGCACTGCTGCATTGCTGGTGTTTGGAGATACTGTGTTTTCACCTCCCATCACATCTACAAACACCCATCTGTGTGTGTGTATGTGATATTCAACTGTGTTATGAAACAGCCTGTGTGTTAGATGGTTTTACCCCACCGCAGGCTGGTTGGTGTAAGTGCTCTGAGCATATTACAGCAGGCTGGGCTGAGCGATGATGTCTGGTGGATCTGGTCTGGTAAATGCATTTACAAACTCATCTCAACTGTCACCACCTCCATAAAATAATTCCTAACTTTCCCAACTATCGTCATAAAATAACTTTCTTAGTGCTTACCATGTGCTGATACTGTTCTGAATAGTTTGCATTTATTTATCCATTTACTCTCACGAAGTAAGTAGTGTTGTCCACATTTTACTAAGATCTTAAATTATATAGATTCCCTTATTAGAAAGTAAGAATATGAGAAGGAGGAGAGGGAGATGAGGGGTGAGAAGGAAAAATATCTGCAGACCGTCACTGCAAAGATTATCCAGATGGTTTTACATTAGGTTCTTTGGAGGGATGAATTACATTTTGATTACTCTTCTATTCATTTGTGCATAAAACAGCAGACTGAGTGTGTACATAAATGTACAAAAGCATACCTCTGGCAACACAGCTCACAAATCAGAAACCACGGGCAGCTGTGTGTACCCTGTGGCTCTTCACATCCCTCACTTTGGAATCCGAGTGTTAGAAGGTAGGAAGAACCCCAACTGAACTAGCAGGTCCTGGAGCCTCGGGACTTTCTGTTACACCTTCCCCAGGATCTCCTACCCCAGGCCTGAGGTCCCTCGGCTGAGCTTGTAGCTTGGAACAAGCCCCTGCTTACCTATGGCTTGCCAGAAGGGCATGCTTTATTTACCACTGTCTCAAAGGCATACTCTCAGGACTCACTTCACAGCCCTCTGATCTGAATTAGGAGAAAATTGTCTTCAGAACTTTTCAGAATGTATTCTGTGCATGGAGATAAGTTTCCTTCTTTTCCCTGGAGCCTCCAGCCCACTTACATTGCTGGGAGGGAGGACTCCTGTCCTAGGAAAACAACCAGACTTTGAAGTGGTTTTTCCCGTGGCAAACCCAATTTCTGCAGGAAGCAGAAGCTCACTGTGCTGAGTGTGTGGAAGCACTTGCATGCACAGGAATCCGCTTCCCCAAACCTCCAGGAAGTTGACATCAATCAGTCTGGGAAAGAACAAGGTTGCACTTGTATTATGAAAAAGTAACACGGGATAAATTCTTGTTTGGCTGGAAAACAAATAAGCTGACCTTGGGAATTTGCTTTTGTTTTTTAAACATCAGGCATCAAATAAAATACCTGGCATCTCTTTTAATACAAGGCATTAGGTAGTAAGGTTTTTAAAAAAAAAATCAGAAGACAAGAAAGAGAACATGTTCTAAGATTCACCAATCACTAAATTTCTTGCAAAGAAAACTGTTATTACCCTCTGTTCCCCCTAGGTTACTTAGCCCTGTGAGGTCATAACACACTTTCGGATATGTTATCTAGTCTTCCTCAAACTCTGTTTTTCTTAATAAAGTTTTTATTTAGCAGTAATTGCAAATTTGCAAAACTCTGCTAGGGCACAGCAGAGCATACGCCCACATCCCCTGAATTTAG